AGGAAATGCGTTTTTCTAAGGTACATAAACTTTTGGGATTGTCTGTATAGCCAATACATCCTTAAACGATAACAATTCTTACGTAGCACATAATTTAATGAAAACGTGATCATTTACACGTATAGATACATGAAACAATCATGTACTCGTTGCTTTACTATCGGCAACGGAATCTTATTATTAATAATAAAAGGAGTATTATTCTTGTTCAAATGGCAGTATCGGTGTAATCTCTTACTTGCTGCGTTTAATTATTATTTTAAATACAAGATCAATGGCAGTATCCACTTTGGACAATTTCATATTCAATTAATTGTACGATTAAAAAAAAGTCCCTTATGTCGTAATTACGAGCGAAATCGGCTACTGATTGATACCTAAATCAGTTGTACGTAATATACAAGTACACGTTCAATGCATCGTTCAGTATTGCATTGTTGCTACCGTAGCTTAGATTTCCGATTTAGATCGTACACTTACCTCGTACCGATAATAATTATAGTAAACTTGAAAAGTGACTCGGAACACGTCACCACGGACTTTTCGGAATTATATACAGGTCTCTAATACCAGACAGTTTTGCGCTGTATCTCAGAACGCTTCGACGAAGCTCGCCGGAAAGAGACCGGTACGACCGGTTCTTTGTAGAGTGCCCTTGTACCAGCCGTCGTCGCGCTTTTTGTGTACATAGATAATGTCCCCCACTCGGAGTTCCAATTCAAACTCGCTGTTGGGTGGATAAGGTACGATGCAACGAAATCTATACACTCGTTCTCTGTAAATAGGTGATTAGGTAAAGCAAACGATGAGAATAAATGAATAAATGATTGTCTCGTACCGTTCGCGAGTAGGTTGCTGTTTCGTTTGTTTTCCCATGCCAGCGTCTAAAGAATTACTCTTACGATGATGATTACCCATTGGTGTACACGCCACTCCTGATTCGTTTGATCTACAAGTATTAGAAAGAGAATTACAATGGGAACTAAAATAGTCACAAGAACATGCATTGTACGTAACATGCAAACGTACAAGCAAGCGACCTTTTTAAATAAAATTCACGATCGAAGAGAAACACAGTGGCAATCATGGAACGTAAAGATCAAGCATGACATATAATACAATGCTGTCGATGCAAGTAAGCTCGTGTTACATACAGTTTCGATATACTTACGTATGGAATTTAATAAAGAATTACAACTGATATAAAACATAAAAAACTAAAACAGTTTTATACCCTTCTTAAAAGCGTTAATTCTCTCTTTTACCCTGTTTGTCAGTGTAATTGTGAGTTAAACGACTAACCTTTGGAGGAGTGAGACCGGTATCGATGGTCTCTCCTTGTATTTAAGTCTTTGTGAAGAGGTGACGTGCCCCTGCACAGTGCCTGGACACAAACGATGGTGGTTGTTTGAAGCATTTAATTCCTGCGTAGCTCCCGCTTGTAGCAATTGACTTGGGCAAGATCCCGATCTAATTTTAAATGTAAATGCCGCCCGGCCCCGGCCCCCCCATGTGAAATTAGACAAATAATTCAACGCGTGCAGAGCTCGTGTGTAAGAAACATGACATGTAACAGCTAATTAATTGTATCCTGCGTATTGTATAATCGTGGAAACATTGAAATCATGCAGTGACTTGGCAATTACGCGACATGTGACAAAAAAAGACAGTTACACAAATTTCACACGTACACAGAATACACGAATAACTTTAAATAGCAAAACGTGCGTTATCATAACAACATGGATGCTATAAACATGCAGGTATTCAGGATAATTAAAACAATTTCATCTCGTCAGCAATCGTGTTTCAACAAAGATTTATGCTTGTATAAATCATTGTTATAATAGAAAAAAAAAGGAACATCTTACCGAACATGGACGGGATTGATCGAGTTACCATCATCAAACACGGGATTATCCATTGAATACGTGGTTGGTGGCGGTGATTTCGATTTCTTAATATTTGTCAGTCGACGCATTAAAGAGACACACTTATCCTTTTTCTCCTTCTGCTGTGATTTAAGAGTACGTGTATTTACCCCGTATAGAAATATGCGTAACGACAAGCATACCTTCTCGGTATTCTTGGGAGTTGGAACAGACGCGGCGGACGAAGGAGAAGCCACTGCATGCAAACTGTTGTTTGGACTTTTATTCGTTTCGTTCACAACGTTGGAAGCACCGCCAGTCGCTGCGGTACCACTGGTGGCAACCGTGATGGACGACTGTGTTACTTGCTTCCCGGGAGATGCTAAAGAGAAAGTATTACGTCACACGTCTCGATGCGATGCATTTTATGTATAAATACTACGTACAAATGTTGGATGACATGACGGCACTGTGACTGCGTCCGAGGGGGTTCGCCGAATTTTGCTCATTGTATCGTGGCGGACTGTTTTCTTGACTCTGCGTCGTTTGGCTTTGACCGTGCCAGGACGACGACACCGCAGAAGACGGGCTGATTGCACGCGGTGGCAACTCTGGTGGTAACAGTGTACGCGCGTTATATGGTTGTGGAGCGGGTCCCTTATTCTTGGTACACGTCACAGTCCGTGATTCGTTGTTTTGACTGGTCGACAGTGAAAAGTTCTGATGCTGCCCGGTATTCGGCGATCCTCGGCATAAACCACGTTGACATCTGTCAGGGACAAGAATCGTTAAAAGTCACATGTTGCTCGTACCGTAATTGTTTTCACGTACTTGGCAGGCGCAACATAGTTTCCAGGAAAAACGCCGCACTTTTGTGTACGGTTAGAAGTTCCCTTGAACCATCCATCTTGGCAACGTTCCGTCACCATGTAAATTCCACCTTTTCTCAATTCGAGTTCATCTGCTTTCTGAGGCTTGTACGGATACAGAGCGATGTACGCAGCTGGCAAATGGCTGTTTCCCGTCGTCGACAAAGTCTGCGATAATTGTGCGAGCGCAAGATCGCTGCTGCCACTTCGCCTGTGTCGAGGATTATGATCTCCCGTGTTGATGTTTGTCTGATGAAAATGATGACGTTAATATCGTAACGTGAGAATTGGGGAAACATCTTTTACCTGCGCTGGAGTGAACGTGTCGTTGCTGCAACCACCACTGCCAACAGCGTTGTCCATCGGAGGGCCAAGTATTTCGGCGCTGTGTCTGTGATATGGATGAGGTTGATGGCCAGTGTTGACAGCAGTAAAACTGTGACGCTTCGCGTTATGTCTATTTCCGACTGCGGGAGGAGACGTAGCTGGACTGCTGGGGCTGCTTGGAGCAGTGCTAGAACTGCTAGACGTAGTAGAGCTGTTGGGAGTGTTTGGAGTGGTAGTCGAAGAACTACCTCCTGACGATACGCTTGAAACGGAGTCGGACACCGGTAAAATTGTGTTCTGTCGAAAAGATGCCTCAAATTACCAAGTGCGTGTTGCATGGTTGCAGTCGAAAATTGACTTGAAATTCTCAATACTTGTACGAGTTGAGGTCGTGGCTGGCTTGTTTGTAAATTACGCGAATGATCCGTTGGTATCAGAGGTGTAGTTTCTTCGTTAGTCGGAGTAGGAGGTGCTACTCTCGATGGTCCTGGCTGTACACTGTACAAGAAAAATTCTGATGTCAATTGCTCTTGGATTCAAGTATTATAATCCATTATAAAAATTACTTTGTTGAAAGTTTCATTAGTGCTCTTGCCACGCTGTTCAGTTCTACAAAGGCCAATGGAAAAATACCAATCCTGTCTAAAAGTTTCCCTTCGGCCCAGTTTTCGTCGACTCTTCTAATAACGCTAATCACTTCGCCCTAAAACAGTTTCAAGCATCATTTCTACGTTCTGATTCTGAATCATACAATCCGTTTACCTTATTAAACGTAAGACATCCATCTTCATCATCGTTAGTCATTCTAAAATCATACAAAGCTTTGCACTGAGGAACATGTGGGGTCAGTGGTGTCATTACCTGTACACATACACACGAGTACATTTATTAAATGCAAAACGAATTCAACGGTTCGTTTCAACTGCTGAGAAATACCTGAACGTAGGACAGAGGGAAAACTCCATGACTATTGGCACTTTCCCCGAAACACCAGTTGTTGTCAATCTTTTTTCGAAGGACGACAATGTCACCCTTCTTGAAAGACAGATCTCTGAAAGATAAAGTGAAGAATAGTTACAATCGCTCAGACATGTGTGTTGACACAGGATTCTGAAGAAAATTACCCTGGAACTTTCGACATGTAATCGTAGATTGCCCGACCGTACGTCTGATTATGAAGCTGAATCTGTTTAGCCATAGCGTTCGCATGGCGAACTGGCTCGTTGGTATGCGCGGCAGGACTAGGACTAGTAGTTACGATAGGAGCTGAAGTAACTTGATGGCCACCGAAGAGTCTCTGAGGTCCCGAGTTGGTTTTAGTTACAGATTTTATCGGTTTAGGAGTTGCATTGCGCATTCCTTCCAAGATGCGCATCAGCAACACGTTAGGAGGTAAATCGTCCACTTTAGCGTCGACCAGAATTCGACACTCGGGACAACGGAGCTCACGATGCGTGCCAACTATCTCTTCCAAGCATTTCTTGCAAAAGGTATGCTGACAGGGAAGTACTTTACTCGATGTATCCAACCGTTCGAGACACACCGAGCATTCCAGCAGATCGTTCAGCATACACTCGTCCATCGTGATTTCAGTTTTCGACGCGCTTATACACTTCTGATCCTCTTACACCTGTTTCTTTTTAAACGCAGCTTCTCGCGTTTCCCAGATCTTCCCACGCGTCTCGCCTTTGGTGCACTCACAAGCCGCCATGCACCTGATGTACTCAACTTGTATGTAACAAGCAATAACGAAGGCTGAAGGACAGGACGATGGCGCACTCATAAAACCATCTCCCGTGAAAATACGCAAACATGTTACTCGAGTTCCTTCTCGTAACTTTCAAACTACGGTCCCATCACCTTGTTTAAATCGTAAACCTTAAATATTCTTAGCCGCGTCAGTATACGCGCTGTCATCCGAGTGCATTTCATCACACACACATATACACCGAAGTGTATCGATCAATCGGATTCGTCGATAAAAGTCGATTCTAAAACGGAATAATGATGATGATGACTGTTACGCGATATACCAAAAAAGTGGAGCAATCATTCATGGGTGAATGTTTGAGGTAGCACTTATTTTAAAAATTTACGTAATACCGGATAATGAATATACAAGTTGAATTACAATATACCACATGCTGCAATTTATAAACTTAAGAACAAGTAACGACTCTGAATACCGGCCTATGTTTAAGTAATTGTTTCAAATGCAGTTATATTTTAAATCTCTGCATACTCTCTGCATTGTCATTTATTAGTACATATTGCATCTGATGCTGCTATCAAATGGTTTCCTCAACAGATAATGTCCTGTAATCTTTAGATAAAAGGTGACCAATGAGTCGCCTCCATTATTATTGTATTGAAACAAAATCATGCCCGCATTTAAAAAACGTGTAATTCAGTTTAGCACATCTTCCAATTCATCGTCTTTGTGTTCACTCGTTGGATTGAACATTACAAAAGTCAAAAACCATATCACTACTTATACATTCTTTTCATTGTTCTGCACGACATGATGAATCTCGTCATTTCCCGACATCATTCATATATACTTTTTGAAATACATACTATTAAATCGTACGTATTGTAGAACAAATTAATCAGTATTACTATGAATACATGAACAACATTATTTCTTATAGCGGATTCCCAGTTGAAATCCTCAAGCTAGTAAAAACTACACAATTGTAAACTTGATACACGATTGATGCGCATGCGGTCCGAGTTGCATGTAAGCCTGACGTCATTTATATAAAGTGCCTTCGAATTGTCGGTGGGGACGTTGGATTTACACGTGTGTACAAGTATATGTGCCTTTTAGTAGCTTGTGCCAGTGTGTCTATCCATCCAGTGTGACTCAAGTGTGTGCAGTCGGTTGGGAAGTCGGCGCCGTTGCTGTCGTATGCGTATGACTGCGGGTCGAGAGATAACACGAGTGAATTTGCTGTAGCAAGGGTGGTTCTGCGTGGTCGCACTGAAATCGCTGCAGCCCATGTGCTCTGCTCGTTAAAATGCTTATCAAAGAATTGTAAGTTTCCTCGAGAGATTTTTAATTCGTTCATTTAATAAAGCGCGATAAACACGTCGCTCGCCGTGCATTTAAAACCATTTCTCGGGATATGGTTACTAATCTTTAACGGCGGGTGGGATTGGAGGGGCAAGGAGGGATGTACTTTCATCCCTTGCAATCTGTGCGAACGAAATTCTATACTGGACGAATGAATCCTCTCCTATTATAACTGATAAGTAACGTCAGAAAAAAAATATCGTCGCCTTACGTACTATTATCTGTCGTTCAGTTCTCGATACCTGACGGATGATACTTGATTTCATACTCGAACGTATTCAAGGTCGCCTCTTGTAGATACTCAATCATCTTTTACTCACCAAACTCGTGGAATGTAAATATAATTTATTAATTTCTTTGTTGCAGCCGTGTCACTTTACCTCTTACTGTGGAAGAGGTATGTATTTGATGAGCGCAAGGTCTTATTATAATGACCCACTTTGAAATGTGTTATTTCATTAGAAAAGGAAAAAACTAACTTGAATCAGCTTTTCCACCGCGGTACCATGCAATTGACGAATATTGCAAATCATTTGATTACGGATTATTTAGAAGCGTGTGGTTATATTCAACGTCGTTTTCAATCCAATGTATCCAATAAATTTTGTTGAATCATCCCAATTTGAAACTTGTCTATTGATATTGAATTGTATGAAATAACAGATGGTATTTTATGATATAACAGCTCAAGTATCGATACACTCACTTATGCTAGTCCTATTATTTATATGCTTAAACACAATTGTAGAAACAGTAACGTTTCGATCAATGAAAAAATGGCACGATGAAATTACACAACTAAATTTTCTTCATAAAACAGAAAATTTTAACATTACCCTACCAAGAAAGGTGTACACGTGTGTAATTAGATTTATCGTAAAAAGTATTCAGTGTTGATATAAATTTTATATCACCAGCTTATGTTTCTGTATGTATCATGAAATATGGTTTACTTTATGGCAGTATCAAGTGGCTCAGCTGTACTCTGTAGCAGAAGCTAGCAAAAACAATACCGGAGGAGGAGAGGGTATAGAAGTGCTAAAAAATGAGCCATTCACAGATTATCCTTTGCTTGGCGGAAAATATTCTTCAGGTCAATATACATACAAGATTTATCACTTAGCTAGTAAAGTGCCTGCTTTTATTCGCATCATGTTGCCAAAGAATTCCTTGGAAATTCATGAAGAAGCTTGGAACGCTTACCCTTATTGCAAAACAGTTATTACTGTAAGTATGATTCGTGTAAGAGTACGATCTGTTCTAAACTGTCAGTTGTATCGAGAGAAAAACTCCTTATCCTTGCCTTTACGATTTATTGTTTTTTGTGCAGAACCCTGGGTACATGAAAGAAAATTTTGTAATTATGATTGAATCGTTTCACATTGACGATGTTGGAAACCAGCATAACGTATGTACATAAATTACGGAAATACGTAATGATTTCCTCTTAAATACATCGTTGCTCGGTCGACAGGTTCACGAATTGCCGCCCGATAAGCTGAAAATGAGAGAGGTGATACATATAGACATTGCGCACGATCCAATTGCGAGTGCCGATTTCAAGGAGGACGAGGATCCGACCAAGTTCAAATCTGTGAAAACTGGTCGGGGTCCGCTCGACAGTAAAGATTGGAAGAATCAAGTTCAGCCTGTGATGACATGCTACAAGCTAGTCACTTGTGAATTTAAGTGGTTCGGTCTACAAACTCGCGTGGAGAACTTCATACAGAAGGCAGAGAGGCGTCTTTTTACCAACTTTCATAGGCAAGTCTTTTGCTGGATCGATCGTTGGTACGGTCTAACTATGGAAGATATTAGAGCAATTGAAGAAACTACTAAGGAAGAACTAGATAGGGTAAGCGATTGTACTGCTTCGACAATGGTAGTCGTACAGAAAGTTATAAGAGATGTTTTATACTTTCAGCAAAGACATGAAGGAGAAGTAAGAGGTATGCGGGCTGACGATTGAGACAAAAGCTGTGGTAGCTTCTATTACGAACGATTAAATCAATGTCCTTATATGTCTCAGATGCATACGCATATCTACGAAAATTGTACACTCACATGTTCAGTCATAGGCGATCCTGCAGGATCGGGACAATTTCCAGAATTTAAGTGTCTAGATTCAGTGTCTATTACAATTACTTATGATTTTAATTTATTTACATTTACAAGCGTTTTAGATAAATGTATCTACAGTCAAAGATTATAATATAGGCAATAATAAGAGGGAACTGAAATAAATCAGTTCGACTTGTATGATGTATAAAATATTTGAGGAACAGAGTGCAGTTCGATAAAAATCAATATAGGTGGAAAAGGAATGTAATTATTGTTTAACGTCGCAATAGTCGTTCGATATTAAAATTTATAAATAAGCCGTTCAGAATGCTTGCTATATGAAACAAGAATATTTAACGTAATTATCGCGACGACAAGTAATTCGTAATCCGCGGTATTAAAGTTACGTTAATTTACTAATCGAGAAACGCTACTATATTTATGTAACAACTTTGATGAATTTACGAGGCATGGCCTGACGTTCTTCAAGCCCAATAATATAATGTATAATAATCAGAAAAATTAAACGAAAGTATTTTAACAGTTCTCCAAAGAAGAATGAATTTTCTGGTAATTTGCCAACGTTCAATATTTCCGTTAGATGTAGAGAAAAGTGGAAGACGGTTAGTAGGGCATATAGGAATAACGCTTTCTTGACAATTCTGTTTCCGATTGTTTAAGTTCGTCAGAATTAGGACCAACGTAACGAACTTGATTCCATTTGAATTCTAATTATTATACTGATATATATCGTTTGTGCAAAGTATGAAAATAATTGTACGACATAACAATATACATGTATACATACATACAAAGAGAGAGAGAAATATTTCGCTGTAAAAGTTGGCAACTACTGAGAGGGTGTACTATTGTATATAAAAAAAAAAGAGGCAT